GTTCCCTGTGCTGAGGACGGACGGGGGCGAGACCCAAGTTTCTTGGATTTTACGATCTGAGTAAAGCCGTGCCCAGAAGAGCAGGGCCTTGGCTAAGATTTGTTTCCCCCTGCTTAACAGGTGGGTAAACAAGCGGGAGGAAGGCAGGTGCTCCCCGGAACCGGGAGGCTTTGGGTGACAGCGCACCTTCTAGAAACGGAGCTGCTCGTAGGGCCAACTGGCGTTTTCTGGCAAACCCAGGCTGCAGTGTGATGGGTAAACAAGCGGGAGGAAGGCAGCTGCTCCCCGGAACCAGGAGGCTTTGGGTGACAGCGCACCTTCTAGAAACGGAGCTGCTCGTAGGGCCAACTGGCGTTTTCTGGCAAACCCAGGCTGCAGTGTGAACGTACTTTCTGGAACAAGCCAGACAGAGCAAACTATAAAAAAGAGAAGCCCCTCCACAGTCGTGGGCCAGGCTTCAGGCCCCTGGGAGTACGGAGAAACGACCGATGCTGGCGGAATCTGGAGGTTTATTTCCGACACCCGCTTCCCATTAGTGTCACCTGGAGAATGTGTAGAGTCGTATGTGCATCCCAAGTTCTTGAAGCCACAGGGGAGTCTCATGGCTATAGAGAGGGTCTGAGGGCTGCAGTCACCTGGCATGTAGGTCCCGGACCCCGGGGAACGCTGCCTCCTGGAGCTGAGGTCCTGGTAGGCACAAGTCTGCGAGGCAGGCGGCCGGCACCGGGTGCTAGGACAGCTCGAAGCCCGTGTTCATGCTGATGGCGTAGCGCAGCTTCTCCCGCAGGACACTCTTCTTGCTGTAGTTAGGCAGCTTGAGCAGGTTAAAGCAGGTGGAGGAGGTGGGCAGGCGGCCGCCTGGCTCCCGCTTGCGGATGGTGAAGAAGCCCCGGAGGACGCTGCCCAGGGTGTCCCCAGTGTCCTGCAAGCACACAGCACAGTGTCGGTTGGAGGTGCCTAGTGAGGGAGCATGGGCAGGTGCCGAATGCAAGGCCCGGGGAGAGGACCTGACCAGTGCTGGGTGCTGAGTGGGGTGTGCTGCACCGCCCTGGCGAGGCTGGGCCTGTGAGTGTGCCCTCCACCACCACGACCAGCCCCAAACTCAGGACAAGCCTTGAGAGGCGAGTGCACAGAGCAGCCCCGCTCCTTGGGTGGCACAGGGGACTCCTGTGTTAAGGAAGCGCCAGGAAATGGGGCCTCTGGGGAACCGCTAATTATTGAGTAACCAGTTGTCAAAGAGCCAGAATACAGTGAAAATTCTTTAGGTCCCCAAACATTTCTGCGTGCAGCCTCACGCTTCCTCCCCGACCTGGCCAGTGCTTGGCCGGGGCAGACTAGCCTGGGGTAGCCGCCTCCAGAAGGGGGTTCGTGTCCCACGGGAGGATCTGGAGCCCAGACTGCAGCATCCTGAAAGGTGTGGCACTCACAGGCCACCAGGCTGCAGGAGTGGGGGAGGGAGACACTTAACAAGGGCTACTCTTGGAGCACCAACCCTGCAGAGGATGACAACCCCTAAGGCATTCATTCTCTTTATGAAAGACAGGAAACAGAGCAGCCTGCCCAGCTGTGCAGCCAGCAGGTGGAGGAGTTGGCATTCAAGCCTGTGCCTGTTCAGTCCCTAGGTCCATGCCCTCACCCTCTGCGACACTGCCTCTCAGACCTGGAGCCTGGCAGAGCAGCAGCGACTGAAAATACCTCCAGCTACTACTCCTTGAGGGAGGAAGGAGGACCAACTGAGCTGAGGCGGCAGGGCCAGCCTGCTCTCCCAAAAGAACAGCGAACCGGCACCCAGGAGCCCAGCGGCTTGCCCTGTGTGGGCATAGCACACGACCCTCCCCAGCCGTGGTACCTGGTCATCTGACACTTCGACACAGCGAATGGAGAAAGGAGGCTTGAGGTAGGCGAATCCCAGGAGCGGGGGCCTGGAGCAGCTGGTCACAAACTGCAACAAAAGGCAGGTCAGGGGACAGGGGGCCGGCGCTCCCTCAGAAATGGGCCCTCGGTCTCTCCTCCAGTGACGGGTCAGTCACTGCTGTTCGGCCGGCAGGACGGGTCACAGAGGGCACATTCAGCCCAAGAACTGGGACACATCTCATATGTCTCTTAAGGGCTGGTCTCAGGCTAAAACGTGAAGTCCACACCAGCGGACATGACTAGCTGGTGGAGGATGTGTGAAGAGTTCAGGAACAGTGAAACTCCCACCTGGTGGGACTGTCACGTTTTGAACATTACAACTTTAAAGACACCAGTACAGGAGTCCTGGTGAATGCCAGCCACTCCCTTTGCAAAATATACACTAATAGCCGCTTACTTGACGGTGCGCATTGTATTGGGACATTGCATGTGTGGTATTGTGTGTTCATACTACTGAGAAAAAAGCTACACAGAGGTAGTCCCTGGTGAATAGAAATGGAGACTATTTAAACCCTACACTGCAGGAGCAGACTGTCTCTCTTTTCTTAAGGTAACAGCACCACTTACTTCTATAACGACAGGAAAGCAAGAGAGAGGCATGAGCAAGGCCAGCCCCAGCGAAGGGGCAGATGGAGTGCGGAGCCCAACAGGCAGAGCGTGCCTGTCCCTGCAGAGGGTCCGCGCAGGTTTGCCTCACCTCAAGGCCCTCCCCGGTTACTACCTGACCCGCCTATGGGACAGGGCATGCTGATGACTGGAGGTCCTCCTGTTAACGTCATTTTCCCCCAGTGTAAGCTACTACATCACCTAGCCTTTTAGATTTAGAATATCTACGTATGCATGCACGCACACGTAGGTAACATGCACAGTACCTTCAGAAACATGGCTCTCTCGTTGGGCGTGAAGTCGGAGGCCAGAATATCCCAGAGCCAGATAATGACCCTGTGACTTCCATGAAAACCACCGTAGTACACTGTGTGCTTCCTGAAACAATGCAGACACGGCTCAGTCACGCAGACACAGGTAAGCATGGCATTTAGACAGGCGCTACTAACTACCAAGTCCCCTGAAAGCCAGAGTTCATGCCTTAATAACCCCATGTCCCTGGAAGCTAACGGGGCAGAGAGTTCAAGAGCTGGCACCTCCAGAGCAGAAGCCAATAGGAGGTCCTGCAACTAGTCCTGAGAAGCTCAGAGAGCCCAGCGGTCCTCAAGATCTGCTTCACTTCGGTTTCTAGGCACACAAGTGGTTGGGCTTTTGTTCCAAGCAGTTCACCCCGTGAGCGGGGAGGAGAGCATCGGAGGTGGACCCTGAAATAACTCTCCAAAGGGGACCCCGCGGGGGGCCGCTTGCTTTCCGGGCCTAAGAACTTCGCCCTCGCCAGCTCGCTCGCTCCTTACTTTAAATCCTCCAGGTCAATCTCAGCGTTGTCACCGGAGATGAGACGCTGGAGCTCAGGGGTTGAGAACATCCGGGTCCACTCGGGTTTGATGAGAGAACGGAATCCGCTGATGAGGGCAGCCGTCTGGTTTTTGATTTGCGTGTGCATCCGGAAGTGTGCCATCAGGTGGATGTAGCTAATTCTGTAGCCGACAAAAGAAAACAATGGAAATTAACAGGACGGAGTGGGCTGTTCCCAATGGGCTAGAAGATGAGTTAGGTCATTTCTGTTCCATTTTACAGAAACACAAACAGTACCAGGACATTTCACCAGAACAACCAGATGACGACGACGGCTCTCCTGAACGGTACACTGCGTGCCTCTGTGAAGGCATTGAACGTTCAAGGGCATGACCTCATCACTTCTCCAAAAAGAACTGCACAAAACAGTGGGCCAGTCATCCATCAGGATAACACCCCAACGTGTCAAGAGTCAAAGCAAGACCATCTCCAGGTAAGGAGGGGGCCCTTCTTGGTACAAAGGGTATTTTTCCGTCTTGGATTTCTTTTCGTCCTTTTGGACATTCACCAATTAAGATGTAATGCAGTCCTCCACTGAGCTTTAAAGCAGAGAAAAACCGCTTCATGCTGAAACTTCAATCAAAACCTTGCTCATCTGGACCAACAGCGAGGCCGTGCAAAGGAGAGGCCGCAGAAAGTTCTGGCCAAATGCAGCTGGCTCATGTTCAGTTTCAACTAGGACGTCAGGGCACTAACCACGGCTCCAGCAGATGGTCTCCTGGGTCTGATTTTATGAACACAATGACCGCATGTACAACGTATAATATACTGCAACTGAACAGGTTAACATCCCAACAGGCTTGCTAGCCTTGCTGATCTCTTAGCAAGCACGTGCTCAGGGGTGAAAGAACCCGAGCCCAGCCCAAGTACAACTCTCAAAATCCCAATCAGTCCAATCAAATAAACACGTTACCGCAGCACTCGGGTCTGAGTGACTGACCTTGAAAACAGCCCACTTTAAAAATTATCCAGCAGCAAACTTGCACATCCATACACTTCAAGATGACCTTTCCTTGACTCTTTGAAGCCGGTTACTAATACTGTCCATTCCACCAAAGAAAGAGAGGGGCTCTCCCATTTCACACCTCAGAAGTGCAGGACCCAGCATCCCCTGAAGGAGGAGAACCGGGCACTGCCAGGCCTCGCAGGATAGGCAGCCTGCAGCACTGAACCCCGCTCTCGGCTCTCCCATTCCACACCTCGGAAGTACAGGGCCCAGCATCCTCTGAAGGAGAAGTGGGCACTGCCAGGCCCCGCGGGATAGGCAGCCTGCAGCACTGAACCCCGCTCTCGCCCTGAGGTTTACACAGAATGTGGAAAAGTGTGTGAAAGGACTTTCTCCACAGTTTCCAGGCGGGCAGGAACCTCACGCAACACAGGCTGCACGGACCCACTTCCTCCTACCACCACCCCTGTGCCCTCTTGTCTGGCACAAAACCCCACCAATCTGAGGGCGGCTGGCTGCATGTGACATGTCACATATTCGATGATGGTGGCAACCACTGCTCTCATTTCGTGGAAGAGCGCGTGAAAGGACTTTCTCCACAGGAGTTTTCAGGTGGGGCAGGAACCTCACGCAACACAGGCTGCACGGAGCCACTTCCTCCTACCACCACCCCTGTGCCCTCATGTCTGGCACAAAAACCACACCAATCTAAGGGCACTGGCTGCATGTGATGTGTCACGTATTCGATGATGGTGGCAACCACTGCTCTCATTTATTAAGGCCCTCCTGTGGCCCAGACACCCTGGAAGGTCTTTTACAGGCGCGCTCTCCCGGGAAGCCCTCTGCAGGGATGGTGAGAGGGAACACAGGGGCAGGAACAGGTTCCACTTGCTGACGCCTCCAGCCTGTTCCTCCCAGCCAGGCTCTGTTCTCTCTCAGCTGTCAAACCAACGCCCCAGAGGCAAGTCAAACTGGTGCATCTCAATCCTGACAAGAACAGTCTGTTCTTAATGAAAGCTCCCAAGCATGAGGCTGACCGAGGCCTCCCAACCCAGAGACACGATGCTCAGGACGCTGGGCTATAACATGCATCTGGTCCAAAGGCCTCACCGGGTGGGACCGAGCTCTCATGTGTCACTGAGGAGAGTGACACTCAGATTATAGTTCTGGTGCTCAGCGGAGTCTGGTGGTAGGAGAAGACGAACCGATTGACAGACAGGCCTATATCTACTCCTCACGCCAGGTTCTACTGTTTTAATTCGGTGAGAATAGGCCGGGTGGAGACAGTGCATTGAGGGGTTTGGCTTCTAGGGACCAAAGAAGTTGGCATTCATGACAGATTCCTGAAAGCCTGTTATCTGTGACGACAGCTGCCGGGCCTCAGAAGCTCCTCATATCTAAGACCTATCTGCTGCATCTGAACTTGCCACTGTGTTCTCAAGACCGGGCTTTGTACAACCGCCAGGTGCTATCATTCCTAAACCATCTTCCCTCCAGGTGCCTTCTGCCTCGGTGCCCTCTGGGTTCCGGACTGCATGCCCGAAGGGCCCAGAATCCATCTGTCTGCACCGAGGGCCATCGTTACATTCCTAGGCACAGTGCCTCTGGCCTCAGAAGTGCTATTGCAAACAATAAATTGTCAATTCTTATTTTGCACATCAAATTTAATATGATTTTAGTCTATGAATCTAACCAGTAAGTTCCATTATAATATTTATGGCTTTTCTACTTCAAAGTATCTTAATAAATTCTCAAAGTAAACCTGGAGAGCCAGAATGAAGTCTTCTCGGATTCTAATGGGGAGAAAGCTTCCTGCAGACAAAAGGGCTGACACCCACATCCGGAATAACGACACAATTAAGATGGGACATGTTTGGGAACAACCATTTCCACAAAAAGCCTGGGCTTACACATCAGCAAGCAGACCCTGCGTGATCAGTACGAAAGGTATTTTTTCTCCAGCAAAAAAAAAAAAATAAAAAATTATGTGGGTGCCAGGGAGAAAGATCTGGAAGGCCAGCCACGTGTTACCGGTGGCACTCTCTGGGCACCACCACTCTAGGAGGTTTTCATTTTCACCTGTGTGGTCACATTCTAGCTGATACTTGGTTAGGAGTTTGCATTATTTTTATAGTCAGGAGAGAAAATTAAGAATGCAGGAAGAAGCCTCAAAATCTGATGAAAGATTTGGAAACTACAGAATTAACTGCTTTCCTCAACGTCAAGAACTTCAGTGGGTCACCTAAAGAAATGAAAGAGTGCATCGTTTTCAAGCTAATTTTAATAGAAATTCTGTTAATATAACTCTAAAGATGTGGACAGTTTGGAAAACAGTGATCTCTAGGGCCAATGCTGTATGCATCATGGGGCACACCAAAGATTTTCAAACTAAAAGGGCCCTAGGAGTCGCCCAGCCTGGCGTTTCCCACAAAGGGTCCCAGGGAGCACGCTGCCTGTGAGCTCTGATTTGACAGTCACTCCATGAGATGGCATTCTCTCTCTGAACGAGAAGTTCTGTGGTCAAATGCACTGGGTTCTCACAGGCTTCTCTGAGCCCTCAGGTGCCAGCCTGCTTGGCAGCTCTTCAGGAGGAGGGTAGGGCACATGGGCACTTACAGAGCACCCGGTGACACTGGTCCCAGTGAGGGCACACACTCGGCAAGTGGCCCTTTGAGAAAAGGAACTTGTGGCTTGGGGAGACCGAGCGGCCTCTGAGGCCCCAGAGGCAGGGCTCAGAGGCAACCCCGCACCCGAGCTCACTGCACGGTTCCTCCAGAGCAGCCCTGGGACCACATGCACGGGGGCTCCTTCAGGTGTCACCGGGACACACTGGAGGGGCCAGGGCACTTCCGAGAAAAGCAGAGAAGAACTCGGGGAGGAAACAGCTCTGCCCCCGTGATTTCAAGGGTCTTTTTTCTTCCTGTTCTGCTCTTTGTGACGAGTTGGGATGGGGACAGGAGTCTGTTAGAGGCATGTCTTCTCAGAGCCTTCTTCCCCCTTTCTAAGTCACTGTCCTCATGAGTGACAGCTAATCCTCACCATGGCAACAAAAAGCAATGTTACAAACGGAGCTATGACTTCAATTAGGAATGACCCAGAGCATAACCTCAGCAGAGCAAGGGGTCTCAGCACAGCGAGAGCGAGCAGGCAAAGGCCAGGTCAGCTGTAATGGAAGGAGGAGACCCCACCTCCCGGCGAGGTGGGACAGGAGAACTGGCACGAGAGCCAGAGGAAAGAGGCCGAACAGACAGACACTCTGTTTAGGGACCGTTGGGAAAGCATCAAGGGCAGGGCAGGCCTCAGGAAGCCCAGGGGGACAGAGAGAAGACTTCCTACCTGAAGTCAACCTACCTGACCCATGACGTCTTCATCGTACGACAGCGTCAGGCCCAGGTCGGAGATGTCCCCATCGTAGCGCTAAGACGACAGAGAAGGGAAAGCGTTGGGACCCAGCAGGGCTATGTCCTTGAAGAACTGACACTCCTGCCTACAAGGTCTGCTTAGGCATCGACTGCTGTGGCCACTGAACAGCTGGAAGCAAAGGAGACAGCCACGCATCTCCTCGAGGAAGGCGGCCCTGAGCATGGGTCCTGAGAGGCAGCGTCCTGAGGGCACGAGGGGCAGGGAACCTCGTCCACCACAGCCACCCTGCGGGGCTTCACTCACTTCTGCCTTCCTGCCAGCGCTCAGCTAAGCCCCCGCCTGTCCACACTGACCTTAATGGAGGTGAGGTTTTTGTAGAACTCAGAGTCCAGGGAAGGCAGCTCGTCCACGGAGCTATAGAAGACACTGTGGTGGTGCCCGAGCAGCTGGCTCAGGAAGAAGGAGGCGAAGGGCACGTCCACCACGATCCCCTGGGGGAGGAGACAAGCTTGTTTGTCCAGATTCCGCCCCAATAATCCCATCGGGGCAGCTCACGCTGCAGAGGCTCCAGAAGCATCTCCCGGCACTTCCGAAATTTTCAATCTGGATGCTACCTCACTTAACAAACCCAACCAAGTCCCCGCTGGGGACACCTCAGCCTGGTGGCTATGGACACAGGCTTTGGAGCCACAGTGCTCAGGGATCACACCAGCTCTGCTGCTGCCCGGCCACGGAGCCTCGGTTCCCACCTGCAGATGGGTGACAGCGCAGCCTCCCCGCTGACATTTTGGGAGCAGGTTGTGGGAGCTCAGGGGACAAGCACCCACCAGAGGCAGGGCAGGGCAAACAGTGGGGCCCAGTGCCCCCGTTTCTTTCATCTGCACTGTTGTTATTGTTGCTGGGGAGGGAGGAAACAGAGACGAGGCCCTGGAAATGGGGGAGGACGTTCACACCACCCCTCACCCTTCAGCGAAGCGGAGGGCAGGTTTCGGACTCAGGTGGCCTGGGTGCGAATCTGCATTCTACCCCGATGAGACTGGATAAGCGCCTCCCGAGCCTCGGTTCTCTCGTCCTTACAAACAGGACAGCGGCGGCCATGCCACAGGGATGCGGAGGACTCAGTGAGCCGCACAGGAAAGTACCAGTCTCTCTGTACAGTAATCACGGTTCCTGTCCTTTCCTGACTTTACCCTAATGACAGGCAGTTGACACGCTAGGTCTGATCACATAAATGCATACAAAGCCCATGGTACTTCCCACGTCTTAGCGTCCTTTCCAGTTCGATGCTCCTTCACGCGCCTACCTCATACACAGCCTTCCCCAGCATCTTGCCCACGAACTCAAAGAGCTGCAGGTAGTTCTCGTGGATGTAAGAGGTGGGCGAGGGGTAGAGCCTCTCGTCCCCACTGGTTGTCTGCGAGGAAAAGGTGACAGGCAGGGGGGTGAGGCCTTGTGTGGAGCAAGCCCAGCCCTTCGGTTCTCGTGGCGCCTCCGTGTGGCAGCTGGCAGCCCGCTCCCTCCCTGGAGTACCTTGAACAGGTTCAGTGCCGGGTCAAACACCCTCTTGATGATCTCTTCCAAGAACTCCTTGAAAACACCGTCTTGATCGATCCCTGCCTCGTCCACCCCGAGGTCATTGACAAACTTCACGCGGATCACGCCCTTCATGGCGTGCTGGGACAGTTGCCGCAGCTGCTCGTAGCCATCCTGCCGAGGGCAGAAGTGCAGCACATTAGGACACCGCTGCACACTCGGGGCTCCCCGAAGGCTCTCCTCCCTGTGGGAGCTCTCCAGTGGAATAGACGTGTGAGTCAGGGCGCATGGGCGCATGAGAAGAGCAGTTCTCACCAGTTCTAAATGAAAGCCTGGTCAAAGGAAAACTCATTTTGTGGGACATGACTTTACCACTCTTCCCCGAGGGGGACTGTCTTTGAGAGGATGCAGAGCCCAGAGACAGGAAACTAGACAAAATGAGTCCCAACAGGCTCTCAGCCATCAGACAGGGATGAAAGAAAACTGTACCAGATCTCGCCCTCTCTGTTTTAATGATACAAGGATCTAGCTCATGGTAAAAACCAATCAACCACACTTACAGACAGACTAGAAGATGAAGAATAAAATACCCTCCCCCTCAATTCCTGGTACCTCTCCCCAGATCACGTAAGGCTTGTGAGTCAAGCTGAGGAATTTAAACATCCAAAGGGAGGTGGGGAGCCCAGGAGTGGTTATGCCAGCAGAACATGGCTGGCTTTCTGTCCTAGGTCTCTCTGTTGGCAGCAGAGCAGATGGCTGGCAGACCCCGACCCGGGGATGGGAGAGCTGGCTTCATTCTTCGGGGCCTTTGAGGCCTGATATCCATGCCTGGCTGAGAATCTGAATTTCTTTGGCCTTAGTTCTGCCACTGGCGGGTGAGGGGACAAGCGGGTGTCCCCCTGAGGTTCCAGGACTAGAATGCTACAGTGCCAGCCCCGTGCACCCTTGTGAGGGGATGCCTTCCTGGAGGACTACCCTGGACGCCTAGCACAGAAGCCCCACCTTCAACACAAACCACAGCAAAGGAAGCGGACAGAAAGCCTGGGACATCATGAGTCTAATGCCAGCTTTTTGATGCCCCTCGTGTCCAAATCGAGCGAAGGCCACGAGGCTCTCATATTCTAACAATCAGACCACCAGACTGTAACGCGGCTAACGGAATAAGTGACCCTCCTCCCTTCTCGTTCAGTGGGAAGGCCAGTGATCAGTTTCTTGACAAGATATTCCTAATGGGACGGGAAGAGGAAAACAGACTTTGCCTAAAACCTGAGACAGACACCCCTCCTTTTACATCCCTTAGGGATGGGTTTTAAAACGCAGCCTCAGGTAACCAGGACGTCAAGTGACGGTGCCATAAGCAGTGACACCTGAGAAGGGAGTTGGGGACTCTCCAGACTTCCTGTGGGTGCTGGTCCCACTGGAGGGGGATGGTAGGTGGTGGGGCTGAGAACTTTGAGACAGGAGAGGTGCATCTGAAGAAAATGCGGGAGAAGGGAGTTTCTATTACACAACTGGGCGTATTCTTCTTTGGGGTCGCCAGAGTGGTAACCTGTATGCTGGCTTTGACTGCGGTGGGCCACTTCCCTGCCATCTCATTAGTGTATGTTTACAAAGAACTTCTGGCTCTGTGGTAATGCAGCTCCCAGGAACGGCTCAGTCAATTTAACACCTACACTCCCGCCTCCACGTGCACAGTTGGGAGTCTGGGTCAAGTGCCTGCCAGGACAAATGGAGTTTGCACAGACACGAGATGTTCTGCACATCGCCCTTCCTGTCCTCATTTAGAGGCATCAAGTGTTTGATGCTCTAGCCAGGGGCCCTCCTGGTGAAAAGGAGAAGAAAACCTGTTTACCAAGCAGCTCTCAGAGCAGGAAACAGGACAAATGGCCCCTTTCTGGCTCCCAGAGCCTCAATTCCAGTGTCATTAGATGAAGGAGTGACAAGAACAGTTCAGAGGCAACAGTTCACCCGCTGAAGCGCCTACCCTCCACAGAGCACACTTCCTGTGGGCTTCTCACCTCCAACATCCGGGACCGTCGGATAGTGATGTGGGTGACGTGAGGTGAGGCGGAGCTGGTCTCCACGAGCCCCAGTTTCTCCTTCTCCTTGGTGACCATGTTTCGGAACAGGAGAACTCTCTGAAACGAGCAACGGTGAGACCAGAAACAGGGTCAAGGGCCGATGATTCCCTAAAACACACTGGACAAGATTCATGGCTTTTAAGTCATTTGAGACGCAACTGGAATGGGATGCTTCCAGAAGTTAAAAGTAACTTGAGGGAACAGGAAACATTCCCCAAAACACTCTTGGGAATTAGAAATATAGCTTCTACCCTCCCTCCTACATTCTCTCCAGCCAGACAGGCTGTCCGTCTGGCTCTCCAACAGCACTGCATTCTCTCATTCGAGGCCTTTAAATACTGCCCACTTTTGCCTGTGCTCCCGACCCCTTTCTGGGCTCCCACAGCATCCAACCCTGTGGCACACACCCCACTCTACAGGACTGCCAGTTCATAGTGTCTTCAATCCCGGTACCCCCAGGACTTAGCCTTATGCCCGATGGACTAAGATGCAATCACGGTTTGCCTCTGCTAAATGAGGGAGCGTGTTTATTAATTTCCAACTGGGTAACAGAGATGGAAAGCCCGGAGCCACGTGGTGGAACAGAAAGACACAGGGGCCCAGCTCTGAGTGCAACTCACGTTTTTGTGAGGAATGACGTGAGGGATGTACTGCAGGATCAGCTGGGCCCGCTTTCTGTCCTTGTCCAGTTCTTGGAAGAGCACGCTAGGTTTGAGATCCCTTAAAAAGAAAGACATGGGCTTGGGATAATGAAAACAAAAAACCCACCATTCTTGGCAAACTGCACCCTGTGGGCCACATGCAGCCTGCCGCCCATTTTTGGTCAAGTTTTAATGGGACACAACCACACTCATTCATTATGTGTTGTCTCTGGCTGTGTTCGTACCACAGCGACTGGTCTGCAGAACCTAGAATAGTCACCGTCAGTCCCTTTACAGAAACAGCTGGCCAGTCCTGCTCTAGGGCCACAACTTACACAGGAGTTGACATGTCATTGATGAGACAATGTGGACACGATCTTATGTTTAGTTGTTGCAAGAGGATTCCTCAACCCATCCTCCAAAACACCTAGCTGTAGTTTTTATCCTGCTAATTCTGATTTTTAAAAACTGCCATTTGCCTAGCATTACCTGTAGCTCAGTTCAGCTGAACATTTTTCTTCTTCCCAGTTTGGGAAGAAACACTTGCTAAATGTGACCGGGTTTTGCTGCTATAATGAGCTCTAACCATGCTCAGTGTATGCATATTTTAACAGAAGGAACTGCTAGGTGATCCGTCCCGACAGGTGTAGGAAGAACGGGTCTCCTTATTCAGGTAAAAGATGAAGGAGAGGACCAAGTTCCTCTCTGCCCTGGGATGTGAGTGCAGTGTCCATAAACCTGCCTCCCCACCCGGGCACTCACTTTCGCAGCCAGTGGTCCTCAGGGGCGAAGCGGCGCCGACAGTCCCGCTCATACAGTACCATCAGCCACCCATGGACGGACTGGAACAGCTCCAAGGTCTCACCCTTGGCGTTCTCTGTGGGCACACAAGCAAGAGGCACCCTCACGAAGCTGATCAGAGCAGAGACAAACTGAAAGGACAGCTCTGGTCATCAAGTCCCACAAAGGCCCCGCCTCCTCCCGCCCCCCCCGTGAGTCCTGCATGGAACCAACAGAGCTGAAAGGCGCCTTGGGTGTGTTTGAAGTGTCTACAGGACTGTGTATCTCTTAGGCACATTCACGTCGCCTCCCACTAGCACGTCATCTAAGACCCTATTAATCTAAGGAGCTTTGTACTAAACCACTGGAAACACATGAGGTGCATCTAACCAGAGGTGTTAGCTGGCACACGTTTATCTTCTCAAAGATAAAGAATCAACACAAAGAATCAAAAGGAGATTTGGGGCAAAATTAATCATTACTAATAATTCCTGATACAAGCAAATCTTGAAAAACAGGTGGGAGAACAAGACTTCTTTAACTTCACCACTGTCTTAAGTGGTCATAGATAGCGAAAGGCCTCACCCTGGGCCTTCTCTGTGGGCACACAAGCAAGAGGCACCCTCACGAAGCTGATCAGAGCAGAGAAAAACTGAGAGGACAGCTCTGGTCATCAAGTCCCACAAAGGCCCCGCCTCCTCCCGCCCCCCCCGTGAGTCCTGCATGGAACCAATAGAGCTGAAAGGCACCCTGGGTGTGTTTGAAGTGTCTACAGGACTGAGTATCTCTTAGGCACTTTCACGCCGCCTCCCACTAGCATGTCATCTAAGACCCTATTAATCTAAGGAGCTTTGTACTAAACCACTGGAAACACATGAGGTGCATCTAACCAGAGGTGTTAGCTGGCACACGTTTATCTTCTCAAAGATAAAGAATCAACACAAAGAATCAAAAGGAGATTTGGGGCAAAATTAATCATTACTAATAATTCCTGATACAAGCAAATCTTGAAAAACATGTGGGAGAACAAGACTTCTTTAACTTCACCACTGTCTTAAGTGGTCATAGATAGCGAAAAAATGAAACTTCTAATTAGGTGAAGAAATGTGCATTTCAGTTAACGTTGACAGCTAATAAGGCTAAGAACCAGCTGTGTTTCTGACTGACGTATCCGCCTGTAGCATCAACTGAACAATGGCCGCCACCTTTACCTTACCTACGATGCCATCCCAGATCATCTTAAACACAAAGGAATTCAGAAAAGAGGAGATGGTGACCAGCTCTTCCAGTTTGAATGAAATTTGTTCTTCATAAACTTCAATGTCATCAAGGATCCTAAATCAGACAGAAAATTATTCATAATTATCCACCAAGAAAAGGCAAAAAAACTAGATCTGTACTTCTTAGAGGACAAAATAAGGTAACGAAATAAGTTCTATCTTTTAGAGATACTTACTGTAAAATTTACAGATAAAGTAGTAAATGTCTAGGATATGCTTCAAAATATGAGGGAGAGGAGAGTGGTGGGCATACAGATGAAGCAAGACTGGAAATGAGTTAAGCGTTGAAGCTGGAGATGGGTGTGTGAGAGTTCATTGTACTATATTCTCTCTCCTTTCTATTGACTTGAAATTGTCCCCAGTAAAAAGTTAAAAATACAATTAAGAAGAAAATAATAAGCCCTGCTCTGTATTTCAGCTCTATCTGAAAATATCCTAAAACGGCTCCATTCCCTTTAAAAGTGAGTCACTCTTGGGTCACCCGTGACCCAGCAGGTCAAGGTCTGCACCAGCAGCTACGGACCCTGCTCTTGCCACCAACCTCTCACTGAGCTCTTCCCTCATGATTCTTACCCAGTCTGCCACCTACCAGCCCCTGAGGACTCCTGCCAAGGCTTCTAGCCTGAACATAACTGCCTAAGATCCATTCTCTCATAATTTTTCACCAGCCTTTTTCGGGAAAAGTGGAATTAAAATACCAAATACACGAGTAGACACCTCAGCTTAAAGAACAAAGGAACTGAATGGGACTAGCGTTTGTTAATTTCTCCCTGTGTGCCAGGCACTGTACTACCTGACATGCCTTTACTCGTTCACTCCCTATCACACTGGTAATGTTATCTCCGTTGCCCAGGGCATCTCGGTAAGTGGTGGAGCCAAGTTTTGCACCCTGACTCCCTGGCTCTGCAAGCTTCCAGTAAACTAAGTAGCACAGCGAGTAAATGGCCGAAGTAATTTAGACCCAGAGACTAGGAACCCCAAAGGCCACATTCAGTGTGCTGACCCAGCTCCCTGAAAGGACAGGAACTAACAACTGCTGAAGCCCTACTATGTGCCACCCACTCTATAAATGTTTCCTCATCTGATGCTTCTCAGGCGTCATTTACAAAAGCAAGCAGTGGACCCTGCCACACAGGCCCAAACCTGAGCAGGAACCGCATCAGTAACTGCTTCCTTACTGCCACTGCCTTCTAGGGAAGGAGTCCAGGCCCGCAGCAGTCAACCTACGTGATGAGGTGCCGGGAGCAGTCACAGAACAGCATCAGCATGGCCAAGAGCTGCTTGGACTCTTCGGTGTCATTGTTGAGGCATTCCAAGAAGAGCTTCAACCCTCCGTGGGGCCCCAGCTCACAGATAAACGCCCACAGTTTGGGCAGCAGGTCATCAAGGTAAGTGAGACCTGGGAAAAGACAGAGAAACCCAAGCTTCAGGTGGGGCTCCAAGTGGTCCATTATTTGCCTACCCACCAGGGAGACAAACACACCTACTAGTGAACATTCAGTGTGAGAGAGAAGGTGGGATTACCAAGAAAATCATTATCACCACGAGAATAAGAGCTAACATGTAACGGGTGCTTACTCTGTGACAGATACTATTCCAGGTACTTA